TAATCCCAGAGCAATGGGAATTGGTTGTAAATAGTGATCTATGTAGGTTTTTAAGTGAGATTTTGGATCTTTTAGCCTTTTATGATTTTTCTGACAAATAATAATTAAAACAAAAGTACAACAGTAAAACACCTATCTCAGCAAGTTCCAGCTGAAGATCCCTCTCTGGCTCACAGGGCATTTTGGAGGACTTATTATTTTAGCTTTTCCTTCATGAAATGTTTTAGCCTTATTCTCAGCATGAGTTGTGAACACTTCAACAATTGTTTATTCTTTATAAGGAGGTTATCTTCAGTGATATATTTCTTTTCCACTCCTGATTTACTGTATTTTCAGCAGAAGTGTGTTTGCCTTAACTTACTTTGGGTTTGACATGGTTATAAAATGTAACTACATTTAATGAGTCCAAGAGGTTGGTAAAAATTGACTAAGGAAAATCAGTGATCAAGTAGAAAGGAGCAAATTTTCACCATGACAGTATTAGTCATGGGTAAACTGTAGTCCAGAGTAGCTCAACAGTTACATGCCAAGTTTAACTGGTATGATACATGACATCAAAGTGAAGTATTTAAAGAGTAGCCAAGAACAGACAGAGAGTGGCAAGATAACAGAGCTCCTGGTATCTATATTCCAGTTGTCAATATTATAAAATAGAAGAATTCAAAATTAAAAGACAAACAGGAACAAACATAGGAAATTCATTTTGAGTCTCATTTGTACTCGCATCCTTTTTCTGGTACAAAGACCTAGCGGTTTCTCCTATCTACTTTTCACTACTGCTGATCACAATACTGAAACATCAAAAATTTTACAGAAAATTACTACAGAATGTACAAAACAAAGTCCCTAGCTGTTCTGTCAAAAAGCAATGACCAGTCAATCACATATGTCCTACTGACTTCCTAACCTTTCTAGACGTCTCCATATTGAGAAGCCTGGCCAAGGTAACTGCATGAAGCCTGGGTATTGCTAATATTCTCTCTGTAAAGCAGGTTTCCACTGGTTCCAGTGAATCAGATACCTCTGCAGCCTCAGAGGAGAGTGGTAAACTGGGCTCATCATTTTCAAAGCTTTACATGAGGTTTAACTGCCTGACATTGTGGCTCAAATTCATCCATTGGTTTTAACAGCAAAATGCCTGCTGTCGTAAATAAACCATATTGATTTTTGGGCAAGCCCATTCTCTGTGAATCTAACACACTATCATCTAAAAAACCTCAAATAATATTAATCCTTTGCTACTGCCTAAGTGCTTTTCTTCAGAGGTTTTTAACATGTTCAGGCACACTAGTGCAGTTTCACAACTTACTCGTCTTGTAGTCATACAGATTATTAAACTTTGGCATGATCTTCTCTAGCTCACACAGAATGTGGAAGAACTAGAAACACCCAACTAGAATAGAATAGAATAGAATAGAATAGAATAGAATAGAATAGAATAGAATAGAATAGAATAGAATAGAATAGAATAGAATAGAATAGAATAGAATAGAATAGAATAGAATAGAATAGAATCATTTCAGCCGGTTTTCTGTTGAGTTCTTTAACTACAGGAGACCTTATTCCTTGTGTATATGTTTAAATAATATAGATATACAGAAAGAAAATACAGAGTATACATAAAGACCCTAACACAATAAAATATCATGGGATCACAGAATATCTCAAGTTGCAAGGGAACCATAAGGATCATTGAGTCCAACTCCCTGCCCATTACAGCACTACCTAAAACTTATTCATATGACTAAAAACATCATGCAGATGCTCCTTGAACTCTGACAGGCTTGGTGCCATTACCACTTGCCTGGGGAGCCTGTTCCAGTGACCAAACGCTCTGTCAGAACCCTTTCCTAATGTCCAGTCTGAACTTCCCCTGATGCGGCTTCATTCTATTTCCTTGTGTGCTATTGCTGGTCACCAGAGAAAGGAGATCAGCACTTCCCCCTTCACTGCCCCCCTTGAGGAAGGTGTAGACTGTGGTGAGGTCACCCCTCAGCCTTCTCTACACCAAGCTGAACAAATGAAGTGACTGCAGCCACTACTTGTCCCCAAAGCTTTTCATCAGCTTGGTTGCCCTCCTGAGTTCAATGTCCTTCTTATACTGAGGCGCCCAAAAAGTACTTGAGGTGTGGGCGCACCGGTGCAGTGTAGAATGGGACAATCACCTCCCTTGACTGGCTAGCTGTGCTGTGCTGGATGCACCCCTGGACACAGTTGGCCCTTTTGGCTGCCAGAGCACACTGTTGGCTCATATTCATCTTGCCATCAGCCCAAACTCCAGATCTCTTTTTGTGGTCCCAGGGCTCTGGGAATCTCCATCCTCTTGTCCCCCAGCGTTTATGTATAATCAGGATTAACCCATCCTAGGTGTAGAATTCAGCACTTGCTCTCGTTAAATTTCATGTGGCTGGTGATTTCCCAGCACTCTAGTCTATCCAGATCACTCTGTAAGGCCTCTCTACCCTCGAGGGGGTCCACAGCTCCTCCTAACTAGTATCATTGACAAACTTCATGTACATTCAGCTCCCGCATTCAGATCTTTACTCCAGGTACCCTCAGATACTTTAACAGCTATGGAATACAGTAGTCACCCTTTGGTTTTGAAAAGCAAATACCTTAGGGCTTGCAGATTAGGTCATGCACAATTCTTTGGGCTACAACTGGGAAATACCTTAGGTAATATATATGTATATGGCACTGCCTAAAGGTGATTTGGAAGGGTGAGTGTCCTGTCCTTGAAAACAGTAAAGAATAGAAGAACTGCCCAAACTGGTGGGTCTGTCATTTGTTTGTTGCTTCTATGCAAGGCTAATATAACTTGTTCATTGCATTCCCTTCTGGCTAGGAAAGACTGACTGCACAGTGGAAATAGAAAGTCTTCTTCAATTGAAGTCAATGGTAAAAAATCCATTGACCCTAATAAGAGCAGAATTAGAGCATTCTTGAAAAAATGGGTGATCTATTCTTCCAGCTTTGAAGGTAAATTATGAACCTCCCAGCTTTTAAACTAGTTCACATACACTTGTTACAAGTTGAAACTAACTCTGATGATATCTTCCAGATCCTTTTCTGTAAGCTTTCCATAACTCACTGAAATTTTCCTTTCAGTCCCATTCAATCACTACAGAAAAAAAAAGAAAAATATTAATCCACTTTATCAAGTCTGACTGAATAGAACTTAATTACAGTGATGTCTTCAACATCTTTTTTTTTTTTTTTTAGGTTTATGCATTAATGTTGAGAAATACAAAACTCTACATGTGAAAACCTGAAGCATGCCTTCAACTGAAGGCAAGATGCAATAACAGAACTGGGTGTGAAACTCCAAAACTTCACAGAAAGCCTGAGTTAAAATTTTCAAGGCAGGTGTGTCAGGTTTCTGAGTTGAAATCTCCTCTGCCTATGGGAAAGACACAGAGGGAGACCTACCCATCAGTTTTTCAAGTGTTATTTCGATGGGTGAGCTCTAGTAACAATTATCATCAGGTCCTGGCATGTCCTGAGCCATTCAACCCCATGGTCTACAAGACCCAGCCCACTTCATAATCAGATTGGTATTAAGTCCACATCCTATTCTTAATGTAGAGGTAAATAATATACAAAATTTAACCGTATTCATTGTGGGGAATGGATTCAGTGGGCCTAACTCAGAGTAAAAATACATCTCAAGGCTTATGCTTAGCTATATGCATGAACTGCTTTAGTTGGAGGGAGGTATACTATATATTAAAGCATCTCCTCAACTTAGATGCTGAAGTTGCAAAATTTAGGAGGGTAAATGAGATGTACATGCAATATATTACATGGGCCCTGAATGCTGTATAGAAACTGGTTTGGTTTTGGTTTTTTGTTTTTTGTTTTTTTTTTTTCATTTCTTATGTTACAGCCAGGTCTTTTCTGTGTTTTAATCTTAAATCAAGGTCAAGCAGAGCCTTTTGGTGGAAATACCATCTCAGTGCAAAAAGGATGTGGAAAAAGCTAGGTTTAAAACTATAAAATTACTTCCCAATAGGGGTGCAGAGTTTGCTTTACTGAAAATAAGTAGCATAGATTTCTTAATAAAGGAGTTTATGAGGTATCAAAGAAACTTTTTGACAGTATTGCAAGTACCTGGAGAAGGCCTTATTGCTTTCATACAACTACTGTAGTTCCTACCAAGACTGCTCCCTCAGGGACTATTCAATGTTTCCCTCAATAAACTTTTTTTGTGGGAGGAAAAAGAGACATCAGAAATCATCATCAATCTTTGGTGAAGGTCACTAAAAAGCATTAATATCTATTCATAACAGCTGGTAGGGGGGGTTTCAGGTTTTGTTAATTAGTTTTTGCCTAATGCTTGAAGCAACAATTAGTAGATCAGTGTGTGAAAGGGAACTACATGAAAAAAGTAAATACCTTCATGCCATCTCTTGTAAAGTGGGCTATCTAGAGTCTTAAACAGATTCTCCTGCATGGTAAGTGTAGGCACACCAACAGATGTACTCTTATTTACACCTGCACCCACAGAGGTGACTGAATTGCATTCTTGCCAGGGTTCCACTGTCTTGAGGACAGTGTATGTCCATCATACAGTCCATGTATGATGCCTCAGTGGTTCAGATGGCAGGATCAGGGCATTAAGTACCTCAGCTATGCTTGAAAGTAGATGATTTGGATCACTGACTATTACCTTGCTAAACCTTTCTGAGAAAAAAATAGAGTAAAAAGACATCTTTTCCTTGCAACATTGTGTTTGGTGGTTTTTTTGTGTTTTGTTTACCCAAGCAGTTTAAAAGTAGGATTTATTTATTTTTCCTTTTTTACGAGTAATCATCCTCAGTCTGACTTCTCATTCCATTTTTTTTCTCCTTGTATAAGTGTGTTTATGGTTGAGTTATAACTTCTTGAAACATAAAGTTTGTGACAAAAATGCTGACAACTGTAACCACTGCCTTACCTACTGTTATGGCCACCACTACAGCAACACAGCAGGATTTAAACTTGAGACCTTAAATGATGAAATAATTGTTGTTTTATTTTTTCTTTGCAGTTTCTTCTTTGTGGAATATGTGGAATATTGTGTGCCAAAAAAAAATCTGGACTTGTTGTAAGTTTTTCTGCTGCATATATAATGCATAAGTATTTGAAAGGCATACTTATCTAACTTGAACTCCTTACTGGGGGCTTTCTGTGTCCAAGTCAGTAAAAACTGGAAGTCAGCAGTCCAAAAAAGCAATCAGCACTTTGGGTTAATCAAGCAAAACAAAGCAGTTCTGAAATGGCCTATTTAGGTCATGCCTATTTAAGCCATGCATCCCTATTTATCCCTGTCTAGATAAATTCGGACAAAAAGCCTTCTGACACAAATTTATGCCAAGTCAATAAAAAGTTCCCCAATAACATCACTGGATTGTGTCTTCTCTCCTTAAAAACCAACACTGAGCTGCCACCTCAGTGAGAATGCTGATCAAGTTTGATTCCAGATATTGTAGTTGTTCACTGTTTAAATAAGTTCTTTTTGCAATCAGAATAATGTATAAGCCAGTTTCAAAGTGATGGCGGATGTTTTCTGTCTCTTCTAAGAATCAGAAGTACAGTCATTTTTCTGACTGCAGCAAAATGGTGTTATTACTACACAAGGCACAGCAGAAGCACATGTTAAAGACATGATCCTATTGTAAGTGATAATGTCTGGGTTAATTTCCTGTCAGCCTGATTATTCTGCCATATACGGATGGAAGTCACATAAAAGCAGCTTAAGTGTGAAGGGAATCAAGATCTCTTTCAAATTATTTTTGAGTATCAATGCATTATCCTAAACCCTGTTACAATGACAGCCTCATTTCTTAAAGCAGGCAGACCGTAAACAGTTTCTAAAAACTGTCTGTTCTGGTGGTGTCTCATGGAACAGTCACTTCCCAGTGGGCTGCAGCATACAGCTGAATGCCACGTTCCTGACTAAATTCTCACCCCAGTTGTATACAGAAGTGGTCTGTAAAGGTCCATAAATTGTTTCTCTCACAGTAGCTAAATACATATAAAAAGCCATATTGAGCAACATGAAAGGCCCATCTAGATCAACATCTGACAGGCCAGCAGTATCAAGGGAAGTGAAAAAGACAATAACTTAGCAGTGTCTCCATAATAAGGTCTTTTGCCCTCGAGACATTTGTGGATCAAGAACATCCTGAATCACGGTGGCGTCTTTGTGATTAAAGTGATAGGAGGTCTTCAAACATGTCTCATTAATTGTAGACTGTTTCACATCTTTCTGAAGTTCCCAGAAACATTTTAAGCAAGTTGAAAACAAACACATAGGCACCACACTGACCTTCTGTAGAGCTACAACACAGGTTTCTTTGTTGTTTCTCTTGCTTCTTTGTCCAGCACATTTACCTTGAACACTTCTGAAGTCCCCACAGAAGCTGTAGAAAACCTCCAAACTGCTGTCTGACTGAACAAATTAGAATTGCACAGGAGGCAGAGTCAGATGGCACAGAAAGCAAGAGAGATTCACAGCAAATACGTAAGGCATTCACTCCTGAGGAGTGGTGAGAAACTGCACAATAGAAAATTATGACACATTCTGTCATGTTACCATTTTGAATGAAACACTGGAAATCAGAAGATTTGTGTCCTAGTAGTCCTTCCATTGAGTAGCTTTTAACATGATCAACTCATTCTACCCAACTTTATCTTACATGCAACGTCAATCTTAACTATTTTACAGCAGAAAGTATTGTATTCCCTTGGAGCTTTGTAGGAGCTGAGGGAGTTAGAAATGAGCCTGTGCAGTGTTTTGCAATCCGTGATGCTATTGAAGCACTGAATTATGGTTAGTCTCATTTTTTATATGAATGAATCTGTCTCTGAAAATGTTACTGTGACATAACTCTCTTGTCTTTCCTGACAGATGATACTTTTTTCTGCCTGTTGCATCTGTGGACTAATCGGAGGAATCTTAAATTTTCAATTTCTTCGTGCTCTGACAAAGAAGTCGTCTGCTCTCTATTCTTTGCATCTTGCCTCCATGTCTCTTGCATGCATTGGAATTGGGGGTTGCACCCTTTCTTCATGGCTCACTTGCCGGCTAGCCAGCTATGAACAAAGGCGAATGTTCTCAGAAAGAGAACATTCATTGCATCACTCCCATGAAATGGCAGAAAAAGTGAGTTGTGTGTCCTGCCTTATTTGTTCTGCTTCTCCTAAAATGCTACTGTATGTGTTAACGTTTACAATTGGCAAGAGATGTATTCAGTTTTCAGTTTTATATGAGAAAGAGCTTCTGGGAAATGAAATGCTGCCATTCTGTCTAAGCTTTCTTATGTTGCATTATATGGAGCTATTTTTAGGTACTGTATATTTGCAGTACATCCATTTCAATGAAGTACATCCATTTTCAACATAATTCCATTTTATAGCTATTCAAGGGCTTAGTTGCTAAATATAGCACTTCATAAATAATTGGAAGCCTTATTAATATGGATTATCATGTATTGTACTGTGAACAAGCACAGAATGCTTTCTGTAACCACATCATTGCATGCTTCCAGGATTTAATCAATTTCTTCCTCTCCCAAGTACTCAGCTTATAAAGTAGGTTATTTAAACACAAAAGCCACAGTTCACAGACCTAGATGACTAAACCTAAGCACCTAAGGGCATATTTAGACACCTAAATGAAACTGCTCGGATGTGCAGCAGCACTAAGCATTTACTGCCCTTCGCTGTCAAAAGCAAGTTTACCAGGGTGTCTAGGTCTATGTTTAGGTGCTGAAACTTAAGCTCCCAAATTTGAGCACGTAGGGCCAAAAGAATTAATTGAATAAAATTCTCTAAATGAGCTCCTTAGATTTACAGATCTGATTAATATTTGAGGACTAAAATGTTCACTGACACCCTGTGCTTTATGTTTGGACTTTGTATCCAATGCCTTTCATTTAAGAAATGAGTAGGAAGGAACAAAAGAAATGAGTAGTTAGCGGACCACACATCTAGACCTCCACAGTCAAGTTTACATTACAGTTAAGTTCAACAGTCTGTATCATATCTACTGAGACCTCTGAAGAGCAGAGCGAGGATTAATACATTCAGACTGTAGAATGTTTTCTGATTCCCGGACAAAACATGATATAGCAGTTAATTGTGTATTGAGTAAAAATTATTTGTTACTATTCTTTGGTTTCTGAACTGAAATGAGACTCCAAGTAGAATTATGTACTGAATCCACCTTAGATGTTTTAAACATGTATTAAAAGGTTAAATAGTACGTTTCAACAGTAACATAGATCAGGGTGATAAAATCAAGAGAAGAGATAAATTTCTTCCTCTCATTTTAAAATGAAGCAGAATTCTGAAGAGCTATGTAGACAAGTATGACCATGGTCTTGCAGATGGTAGACTAGATCTTGCCCCAACAGGGACAAAGGTTACGCCCATTTGAGAGAAAAAGAGAGGGAAAGAAAAAAGAAATGGCCTGGGAAGAAAAATCTTTCAAGATACAAACACCTGACAACCCCATCAATTTGGGCTGAAGATAACCACGTATAGCAATAGTTCACTGCCTCCCTTCCTGGCCTGTTGACCCACTGAGCTTTTAGACACTTTAGCAGTGAGGACTGCCAGGTACCCACTTATCTTGGGTGAATGGCCATGATGCATGTGCAGAGCAACCCCACTGCACATGCTCAGTGAACGTGCAACGTGACCCACTGATGGTGGACACCCTGCATGTGTGTTGTAGAATCAAGTAAGCATGTCTAGATGATCTGATCTGGGACTTAGACCTACAGCCTGGGGGCTACCTGCTGCCAGCAGGTTTGGGTACCTTAGCTCATGGTATCCCCCTAAAAAATAATGAAAGCTGCTTAAAAACTTACATTAAATTAGGCCCTGATTTAGAAAACAGCTTTAAAGTGTTTTATCTGTAAGACTATTTTGCATATTTATACTGATATACAGTAATATAGACATGTACTGCATGTGCATTTGTTTGTGCTATATTTATTGTATGATTGTTATATTTATATTAGAGATTGAGGGGTATTGAAATAACCGACCTGCCCAGCTGCCCGGTGGTTCCCCCGACACCAGAGTTACCTCCAAGGTACGCTGAACACTAGGGAGCTACCATGTTGTTATGTCACTTCAGGAAGGGCCACCTCTAAGAGGAAGTCATAGTTTCAGCTAATCAAAGTTGGCTGAGGCTGTGATGTCACTCTGTCAGGAATGGTGTTTCCAGGTAGTGACATAACTCTACGTGGTGAATGCTGCAATCTGGAAGTAAGTTGAGTATTTAAAGTATTCACCCTAGCTATAGACATCCAAATGCTCCTATTTGGATGTTGCCACCATTGACTCACTCTGCTTCTAATCTGTGTGCTCCTTCATTTCTTGAATTCAGCACTGGTTTTTAATTTATTAATACTTTTATTTCTGACAACAGAAACATTGGGGAAAATAAATGGTTTTCAGTATTTTCTGAAATTATGATAATATTCTAATAGCTGATGTCTGCAGAGGATTCAAGTGATAAAGCTGACAAAAGGAAACTTACACTCACCCATGAGTAGCCTTCTGACAGATCACTACTATCAACCTGCAGCTGACTGATAGTTAAATGGCTTTGGCATTCTTGGTCCCTTTCCCAGCTGACTAATATCCTCAGTGTAGATCCAACAGAGGGTTTAGGCACCTAAAACCAGGCAAAATGTAGTGCCTTGTATCAGAGCAGACAACCCCCAAGCTGAGATCCAGAGTCCAGTATTAGGCATGCCTGATCCTCTTCAGTAAATCAGGAGAATAAGGCACAGTACAAAACCATCCAACACCATCACCTACTGAATGGAGAGATGGGTGTTAGAAAATGTTCAGAATTCACTAAGTTTACATACCTTATTTTCTCTGAAGGTTACACTTGATTCAGGAGTATTAATTGGCAAGGCTACTTGGTTTGATGGCCCTAAATTCACTTTGTAGAGAGGAATGGATCATCCTTTCAAAAACTGTGCAGGGAACAATTAAGTCTTGTGATCTACACTAAAATTTAGCTGATAACACCAGAGAGAGGAGGCATCAGTGCTTCCAATTTATTTTAAACTCCTGCGTTCTGGTCTCTGCTTCGCAAACGATTTATAAAACAATATTATGGATTAAAAGAAGAGAGGGAAATAGTCAGACCAGGAATAAAGACCAGGTCCCAGAATTTTGTTCTCTTTACAAGAATCTCAGCTACTATGCTATAGAGTCAGGCTCACTCTGTCACTGTCTGTTTGTCTGTCTCTCTGTTTAGCCCAATGAAACTTGCTTTACATTCTTCAGAGAAACTTCCACAAGAAGGGGGACAAACAAACCACTTTTCTTCAAGAGTACCTAGGAGGTAGAAGAGGTGAATTTAATCTTTCCATGCAGAGAAGAGCTTCTGTTTCTCAGGCAAATATTTTAGAATTAGCCCAATGGTGGCACCTCCACCTCATCTACCTGAATTTTAAAAAGAATAACCCAAATTGCATTTTTATGTGTGCCCATTCCTCTTGGCATAGTTGGATATTCTCTAGCATAAACTCTATGTGGCTTTGAAAACTTGAAGGTCAGAGAACTGCTTAATTAATGTAGTCATCTCCAGGCTTAGACAGCTAATAAGTAGGTATTGTTTGGATTGCAATTTGAGAAATAGAAAATCTAACTCCAAACAAATCTTGGTTCAGGTGCTTTAGGATTCTGACTCATGATCAGGTCAGTTTACTCCAGGATGACTCATCTGCCACTTGAGCAGCAATTGCTGAACTGCTAAAAATTGTTGTCTGGCATATTAAGGGAAAACAAAAACCAGCCCCATCCCAAGTCAAGCAGTCAACCCCCTTAGACCCTGTTTGGATCTAGACCTATTTCCAAAATGTCGATCCCAGGTAGCATTGAATAGCTCCTCTTTGTAGCATGTCAGCACAGAAAAAGGTTTGAATGGAAATGAAGACTTAATTACCATCTTGCTCCTTTGTAGATTACCACACACACTTGAATTGATGCACTTTCAAAGGACAACGTCACAAAACTTCCATGGATGCCATCAATGCTGTACAAATGGTCTGAGAGTAATGTTCAATTCAATTAGTATCAATGAGTCTATCAGCTTTCAAATGTACTTGATTTATGTAGGAAGAAATGTGATTGCTTTTTTTACAGTGAGGTTTATCAGATCAAATAAAAAATGTAAAGTTTTTCTGAATGAAATTCAGAGTTTGTTAATTTTTTATTACAACCTTAGCTAACAAAATTTCAACCATATACCAATTGTAATTTTAATCAGTGTTTTCTATTCTTGTTCCAGGAAATGACAGACAACCTAAGTAATGGTGGCCCACATCTGATTTATAATGGAAGTGTATATTAAGAGATTTTAAAAAGTTCCATGGAAAGAAGTGGGTTTAGAATTTTCTTCAGGAAAAAAATAGACTCCAAGAAATTGAGAAAATGGAACTATCTTAGCTTTTATGGCTCAAATATCACAACTGCAGAACAGCACAGTTGCATTTCTCTTTTAGAAACATGTTCAAAATTTGTCTCCTTAACATTTTGCGGATATACAATATTTATTCACTTCCTAGCTACTCTCTTTTGTTTTTTTGTCTGAATAACTTTTCAGAATTGTGATAGTATTTGAAATAGACTTCTCAAGACTCTTCTTCTCATGAAATCTCAAAAAACAGAAAAAATAATTAAACTGGACCACATTTAGCCTGGTCACAGGATTCCTAAAGAGAAGAGAAGAGAAGAGAAGAGAAGAGGGCAGAAGAAGGATGGCTCAGGGGAATCTTTTCTCCTCTCCACTTAGGAGCATCTGGTGTAATATGATGGCTTCAGATCATGTGGCATGGTACCAGCAATGCATCTGCACAGTCCCCCTTCCCACACTGCAAATGCATTCAGCCTCAGTTTTCCCAGTAGATCATATCAAAAGAGAGTGCAAATTACTCTTCCAAAAGGCTCCCATTTCACATTCAGAGTGTAAATGAACAGTGTGCTGAAAAAAACACCGATGTCTTTGTTTTGAAAGACAGAATGCTCTAAGAACGCCATAAATCAAAACCTCAACAATGCCTTGTTGTAAAGAAATTGTAAATATTTCCAATTTGTGAATGAAGTATATTTCGTAATTTGTTCATAAAAGATGACAAATAAAATGAAATTGAAACCAGAGATTTTAGAGATCTTTTCTGTTTTTTTCTTGTTAGAATAATCTTGCAAAGCTGAACTGTCATGCTTGCAGTTTTGCACAACACACTGAAAGGTTCCTAAAGGGGGGAAGCAAGCTCAGAAAGGACGAAAACAAAGGCTGAACAGAGGCATGGTCAAGGTTAGAACACACTGGCAATTCTGCACTCCCACAATAGAGTTTGAGGTCTGTTAAAGCAGTGTATATGCTAAGGCAGCAGCTTTAACTGACCCCAAACTTTATTGTAGGACCTACTAGCTCATATAGCCATGAAAAATGGAAAATGCAATCTGTAAGAGAACATATACAGCATAATATTAATATAAAATATTAATATAAAATCAATCATGTTACATAGTGAGTCTATGACTGTGTTGTAAAGCCGAGCACTTAGAAACCTCTAGAAATTATATTAAAATATTTTGTGAATCTATACAGTATAAAATAATCTTTATTTCAATTATTTTTGGATTTTCTAAGTTTCTAAGGGAGTTTCCAATCTAATTACAACATAGGAAACACCTTCACTGTGATTTAAGTTTCTCACTTAGACTTCACGCCTATTAGTTGGATGGTTAATCTTGTGAGTCAAAAACTGACCCACCTCATAAGGCTTCTCTTCACTTACCTACTGTCTTAAAGGGCTTTTGAATCTTCTTGAAGTCCCTGATACACTACTATGTATTACGTACATTAGTAATTGCTAATGAGACTGTTCAAGTTGACGAAGAATATAGATATTGTCATAGCAAAAGAATTAAATGTTAAGATATCTCTGCTCAAGGAAAGCGCTCCCCTTACCAAGTCCTACCAGCCTTTAGACTGTCTCCCCTACTGAATTCCAGCTTGTTTGGACTCTGTAGGTGTCATTGCCTCTTCAGCTTGATGATCCTCCTCCTCCTCAGCAGCAGGAAACATGGGGTATATCTGTTGCCAGTATGTGCCCCTTCTAGGAGAAATTTTGCTGCACCTCTGGACACAACCTGTAAAGGCAGGACTACTATCAAAGTGGACTGCAGAGTTTCATACAGGTTGAAGAAATCCACACAGGACATAGAACCAGAGGAAGTGGTTCTGTAAGATCCCATTCCTCATTGCATCAGTACAAAGTCTGTAACAGGGCTTTATCAAAGAAAAGCAAGAGTAAAACAAAAAATTACTCAAAAATGCACCTCAGAACAACCTGAATGAGGTTCATCACTAGCTCTGTAGGTTAGCTGCAAAATCACAGTTCATACACATATCTTGCAACACCTCAGGACTAGAATGTAACTTCAGATCCTAGAGAGTGGTTTGGAATTGCAGTTCAGAATCTGCTCAGGAATGACATGAAAGAACAGATCGTAACACCACCCATTAACAAACACTTCATTTCCCAGCATGGTAATAAGAGTATGGGATGGTACAGGGGAATAGGTAATACCCAACACAGTAGTCCAGTGCAACAGTCACTTTCTCATGCTTTGGAAAGGAAAGGAGGATGTGTTCTCCAAGCTCACAATGTTTGAAGCCTTACTGTAATTTATGAAACACAACCACACCACTTCTGCTGCTTTTCAGGAGGTGCTCAAAGGAGACAGAAGAGGTCTGGGCCCCACAGAACAAAAGATTCAAATGTTCAGGTTTTTTTTTTTTACTTCTTTTGCTGCCAAGACTGTAGAATGCAGAAAAACCGGCTGGTCTCTGCATTAATAAAAGTCTTGAAAATGCAAAGCTGGAATTAAAAAGACTTAGGAACAAATGTGACAAAGAAGATGGCTCCTGAGGCGTACAAAGAGGATCAGAATTCTTAAATTCAAAGTAAATTACCATAATACATGGATGTGGTAGGGGAATTCTAGGAAATTTTTCACTTTGTTTAATGAAGTTTTGTTCCATAACTGCATACAGAGTTCAATGTAATGGAAATATTTTCTGTGTGTTTTCATTACTGGTACAGTTGAAAGGACACACATACCACTTATGCAACTCTTTGAAAAACAAAACTTTCAGTTTTCATAATGTGACCAGCCAACATATCTGTACCAATAGCTTGAAGGCCGGGCACCAAAATCCATGTTAATCTAAATAAGATGAAACATGTATTATCCTTGATGCAGTTATTTCTGATTCATGCTGCTGTAAAAGCAGATGCTGGCTCAGATTCTCTCAGAGATATTCAGCTGTTATTTACTAGGTCAAGAAACACTTCCTGAAGGGGCTTACTTATTGAACTTTGTGCATAGGACTTAGCTGGTAAGTCCTTAATGTATCCTTTAATATTTTAGGTTATAATTTAGTCTCTGCTTGCCATTTCATAGAACCCTAGCCTAAGAAAAACACACACATGCTTTGAATTTACAACAACCAACACTTCTTATTGCAAACTGTGCAGAGAAGTTCATATAATATGTTTTAAATCTTTGTTTTGCACAATCTTCAATATGTATTTGTTCCATTAGGACATATAAATTGCCCTTCAGATGGTCTGGGGAGGTATGAAGGACAGCAGAGCAGGTCAGATTCAGTAAGAACTTTATATGCAGTAAGCCATAATCACACATAGTCATATTTATACCAAAATGTTCCTTGAGAGTATGGTTTTGAAGATTGAGAGGAAAGAGAGCACAACGGTTTAAGACTTTTTTAATCCTTTCAGATCCTAGTCCCAGGCAGGTTAAGGAGCTAAAATGAGCCTATTATAATTAAAAGCTTAGAAATATCTAAAAGCAGACTGGTATTAGACTACCATATCATTGTAGATATTACTCCATAATTCCACATAAAACCATCCTAGCTAGCTTTCACTTCCTGTATCAAAGTGACATCTTTAGCTCCACTATAATCCTCCAACAAGTTCCACAAGGTTGTTGTACATGCATCTGGAGAGAGATTTAGAAGAATATTTTTAGAACTTGTACAAGGGCTAGGCAGACAGACTCACAATCTCCAATGGGGAAAAAAAAAAAAAAAAAAAAAGGTGGGGAGGCAAAATAAAGAGCAAAAAAAGAATTTTTTGGTAAAACATAATTTTATTGGCATGAAGATACTAAACACCTAATTTAACATCATCCGTCTGAGGAACTCTGAGTGAACTTGGGAAGCTTGTTCAGATAGGCCATTTTACCCCTAATTATGTTATGAAAATGTGATTCAGTGTTTTGAAGAGTGAATGGGGTGGGAGGAATCACTAGCTGGAATTTCAGTAGAAGATTATGTGCCTGGAGAGATTTGTTTGGCTGTGGTACTGTTGTTCTGCTTCAGAAAGAAGCAGCTTTGATTTGGAGCAAAAAGTCCAGAGGGCTGCACCAAGGTCTCTCTTATCATCTCTCTGCAAAGTAGTCAAAGAAACATGGAAGACACATCTACTTCTGCCAGGGAACTAACGATAAACTGTGCAGAGCAGCCTCACAATTCCTCTGTGGTTCCCTCAAATGAGCCCTGAGCGTATACAGAAGTGGAAGGTTGGTTTTTCCCCCTTGCATTACATTTGATTTTCTGTAAGGTACCTTTTATGTCCTTTAACCACCGAGTCACAGCAGGCTGCTTTAATGATTTCCATATCAGTGTAATTTTGCTTTGCAATCAGTAGAAGGGTTTTTTTCCCAGAGATCCTTTCTGAAATCCAGTTTTAATCCTCCCATAACCTGCAAAATGTGTCTTTCTAAAAATACATGTATGTTGAACAGGTTGACCACGTACATTAATTAAAAATAAAATAGCCATTTTGATGAACTGGCATAATGTGCAATGAGAACATGCTGGGAAGGGAGTCAGGAAGAGGGACCACAAGCACAACTGATAATGCTTTGAATGCAAAGTGTCACTACAGTGCTGCATACAATTCCATGGATATAAACCAGGTGTATAAGTCAACACAACTTCTCTTCGTACCCTTGAGAAAGCAGACACAGATTTATAGGGAGCTCAGCGCCATTAAGATTTCCTGCCCTCTTTCTCACATCCCGTTACTAGTAGCTAGTGTGAGACAAATCAAATTATGTAACTAGGACCACAAACTTGTGGAGCTCCTCTCCCACATCATTAGGTGATCACTTTTTTCTCTCCCTCCCACTTCTTACTGGTTCAAGCTAGGTTATGTCTTATATCTTCCCTTACACTTTTCTTCTGTTAAAATACAGCTGTATCCTTTAAAGTGTTAAGTATTGAATAAATTCTTACCTTCCCTGCCTAGAGAAAGCAAATACAGATCATTGCCTTCATTTTACAGAGAGACTGCAAACAAGGCAAATCTAAATCTAAACCATCAAGTCCAAACACCCAGACTGACAGTATTAAATTCCTGTGGTTTCCTGCACTTACTGATATCATTGCTGCCTTCTTCCCTAAATCCAGGCATAAACTCCAGGAATGCTGACAGCTAATATTTTTCTGAGGACTATTTATGAACTGTGTAGCACCCTGGAAAAATATATGTGTCAGAGCTCCTTTGGTAACCATTACACATAAAGGACAGTATGTTAATATTGATACCCACAGTGGTGGCAGCAGCAGAGATCTTGAAATGGCCCAAGAGATCTGGATCTAAATGCTACAAAAGGCATGGGATTCTGTATGATTGTATTTATGCAAGGGATTGTTTTGTTTATATTTTATGCATGCTAAAAATATGGTATAAAACCAAAACCATGAAACTGTTACATTTGTGAATTACAACATTCAATCATGAATAAACACCTGAATGGATTTTAAGATTGGATAGCACCTTATGATCAGCTAGTTTTTCCTTCTGTATAGCACCAGACATGATACTTCACCTGACAACTCTTGTATCAATCACATAACATCTGGGCAAGCAATATATATTTTTAGAATTAAATCTGATCTATATTTAAAGACTTCAAAAGATGTAATCTAACACTTCCCTTATTATGAAACTTTCCCACTTTAAAGTGATTTGTTTCTATGCAGGTCTTTTTTGCTTTATTTCCCTGGCACTGGCTCTCACTATGCTATTATCTGCTAAACCAAGGAGCCTTAGAGAAA